CAATTGAAAAATATATATAAATAGTAAATCTGATACAATAATTATCTTTTGCAACCGATTGTAATAAAAAAGGTCAAACAAGCTTAAGAAATAATCTAAAATTTTCAATTACTTCGTTATATATTCATCGTGACAAAACGTAACAAAAAATATGACAAAAATAAATTCATATTTTTAAACATTGTATATATTGTGTTTAAACCTAAAATCTGTAAATAGTCCCTTAATCATAAAATTTTTTACAGAAATATTGTTTTGACTGATAAGAATATGTTTACATAAAACAAGTTTGAATGATGAGTGAATGAGTCATTTATATTCTTCTTCTACCTGACAATTTCCCAGCTTTAGCCAGGGTCTGCCTTACATAATACATGTTTTTTTAAATAGTTTTGGCTAATTGTTTTTACGACCGGCTGCCTGCCTGACATCAACCCTCTTTTGGGAATGTATAAATCAGTGAAATCTAAATATTCTTAGAAAGTACATATGACTCGGAAAAATCACATTGGTACTTGCCTGGGTCAGGATCAAACCCGCGCCCTCGTGCATGAGAGGCGGGCCGCTTAACCACTGGGCCACCACTGACTGAGTCATTTATATGAGACCAATTCGAATGTTTGTTGTATTCGAGATTACGACTTTGTCATATGAAGAACTTTATTGATTCCCTTCAAAACATTGATATTTATTAATTGTAGTGGTCTCATGTTCAAGCATTACAGACGTGATTGTAAGTGTTGGCAGGTTATTTTTCCATAATCAAAACTAACAATTTAAAAGGAAACTGTGAAAGTAAATTCAATTTATGAGCTAATTTAAAATATAACACTATATAACTACTAGGATATAACGACGATTCCATTTACAAATTTACCAAAAGAACAATTTCAAGAATATTACCTTGTCATTAATGTTTTTTAAGTCATTGTAGTAATTTAAATACCTCATCAAGATTTAAAGATTTTGCTTTAAATACATACCCTTTTTGAATACGTACGTTAAAAGTTTGACAGACTGTTATACAGGGTTCTTAAATGAAGAATATTTGTATACGAATGTATATAAATATAACGAAAGCTTTATGTTTCCAACGGATTAAAACTGGCATTTCAATTTATTTTCATACTAAAATTTATTTTAATAATTGTTTATTCAAAAAGATACTCCACTTCAAAAGTAAATAAGAACGAAATAATATTAAAATCAAAGCGGTACGTTAGTTCTGAATCCCATTCAATATCCTCAGTTTTTATTTATCTGAATGTGTATGCCAATAAAGTCTATTCAGTTCTTGAAAAATTATTTCATGAAATCTACATTGCATTGCAAATATTAAAACTGGCAGAATTAAATTAATATTAAAATCGACAAAGAAGATGTCAGTTCTCTACATACATACATATATTTGACATGTATATTTATATAAATATTTTATATTATACTTATATATATATACAGGGTGACTGGTGAATTACTATCAATATTTAAGGAGGATACTCGGTACATGATTTTCATTCGAATTATGTAAAAAAAATAGGTACTTAATTTTTGACAAAATTTCCGTATAAATAAATAAAGTGTTGACACGTTCCAAGTGTTCCAAGCGTGAACGTGTGCGGCGGCGTGCTGATACAACACTAAGCCGCCGCCGCGTCTGTGTGAGTGTGTGTGTATACCTAATCTGTAGGGTGTTCATACGATGCGTCATTAATTACATAACTTTTGGTTAACTTTACTTAGAAGTTTATTAATATTTATGTTATATTAATTTTTATTTTGTCATATATGATCGTCACAAATCACGTCCTCAAATATCGATAGTAATTCACCAGTCACCCTGTATATATATATTAAATAATATACATTCATAAAGAGTTTTTATCATATAAACGAAAATGTTGATGAAAAGTATAAGAAACGTCAGGAGTAGGTAGAACCTAAATAATAAAATGCTAGTATAAGAAAAACTTAGTTCCATTTTTATATGTACACGCGAAATTCTTAATCACTATTGATTTTTATCATAATGTAAGGAAGTATATTATAATTAAGTAAAATTATTTATCTTTTAAGTACCTTCATTTTCCTCAAGAGAATTCTATGTATTTTGGAAATGTTATGTGATACAATGATAAAGAGGTGAGATAAAATTAATGTGTACCTTACAAATAAACCATTCAGAAGTGAATGATACTGAAATTATATTTGCGTATCTATCTGTATTATAAAAAGTTTTTGTCCATAGCTTTTCCAACAAATATCTTTTGCTTGGATAGTACACGAATATTTTACTAAAATCTTAGATATTTAAGAAAAATAAAAGAATAAGTAAATGAATTGAAAATTATCTTAAGCCTTATTAACATCTGAAAGTGCTTCAAAATACTTCAATAATTATTATTATGTTGCTTTAATTGACCTACAAGCAAGGGAGGAAAAAGTATAAATAATAAATTTGAGACTAATTATTGATTTTTCGAAATTGTAAGCTAAAAATAACCAGTTATTTCTTTAGAACTCTTTAAGAATATTACTAGTGAAAAATCATATCACAATATGCAATATTATAATAGATATTTGTCATACAAAGAAAATATTATAACGTTGTCTACCAATTACCCCAGTATTATAAATATAAAAAGTCGTTCTAACGAGTATGAAATGACTTCTAACAAGAAGTCTGAAAAAATCATGCTATATTCTACAACTAGTCTCAAAACTTAAGAGCTGTATGACAAAAATATAGGCGTTTTAAAATATATGACTAATTCGTTTTGATTTACATTTACGTAAACTTGCTTACATTGTAAACAAATTTTATATGTAATGCATCGTGAGTGTTGTTATTATTTTCAGAATATTATATATTTTATTCAGAACAAAATATACATATAACATATTATATTATACAAAAGTTGAAAAGAATATGTGTAATTGAATTATTATCTGCACACGTCGTTAACTAAGGAATCTCGTATGTTCTAAAATTGCTGATAAATAGATAAACCACCTCGTCTATCTCTCGTTCTCAGATATTCAACCCTCAGGGGGCAAATAACAAATTGGAACTAGTTCTCCAAGATCCTTGATACGCAACCCATAAATTTACTAGGCGAATAAACTTTCCAGCCGAACGTTGTACGCAAATAAAGAAATCACTTATGTATGATGGCTGATTTAAAACAGAGTCTTGTCTTTAAATATCTCATGTATTCATATTATACACTCCTAATATGGATCAATATATTTTATATAATATAATATATTAAATCCATAATAATTATATATTTTTAAGTAAAAAATAATAAAAGAATACCACAACGTCTTAAAGCCTAGAGTTGAAATAAATGTCTTAAATTTTCTAGAACACAGATTAAGTTTTATGTCAAAAACTACGTGATATAAACAAGTCTGAGCGCATCGTGAGAGACTTATATTTAGTTAAGCTATTAAAGTCAACATAACTTGTATTTATGAACGATATTTGAAAGATACTTCACAAAGACAGCTTGCCAAACCTTAAACTTGAAACAATTGTTGAAGATGAAATTTAATATTAACAAAATAAAATAATATTGAAATTAAATTTTCAACCATTTTTTTATTCATATAAGAAATAAAATTGAAAACTCTTTTCCTAGATCGATTTTTATTGCTTTTTGATTAAAAACCAAGACGCTTTTTGTACTCAATTGTAGAACTGTCGATAAGTTACTCTAAAAGACCTTTTTGTGACCGACTTATGAAAAAGTGTAATAATTCTTCTGTAGTAAAGGTATAAGACCATATATTATATTTAAATGACTCATAATATATATAACGTTTATTTTATTTCTTTTTAAAATGATAATAGTTATTAAATATTCACACACTAAACATAATAAAAAATACAAAAGAACAATTCTGTTGTTTTCATTATTATTATTTCTTGTTTTGATTGAAAAGCCACCCATTTATACATACACATCTATTACCAATTTTAAACGTTCTTGGAAATAAAATCCTAATAACATATTTTTACGAAAAATAATTACACCTAACATCAGGTGAAATTGAGGTTTCGTCTAACAAAAAGTATGGAACCGATGGCACGCTTCCAAAATAAGACATATATTACCTTAAATAACGTTTGAAGACTTACTCAACATCAAAATGTCACAGTATTAATAACACTTAATACGAAACCATAACAGGAAAAATATTATACTGTAATTATAAAAAAAATATTCAGTGAAAGTGATAAAGTAAATTTGTAAGTAAAGTAAATATCCCGAGGGAATGAACGACACGGGAGACGAAATTGCCTTACGCGTAAGCAATGATTACCATACACAAAAATGTAATAAAGCCTGCTTTTGTGTTTTTAAATTATTATTAATATATTCTGGAGGTTTTTCTTTCCTAACATTTTATTTGAAAAAATGCTGCCGTTTCTTACTTCTATTTTTATCTAAACATATAGATATATGGTTCGGTATAGTGATCTGTTTGTAATTAATAAAAGTAATACGACACACTTACGGAAAATTTTATAAATTTAATTTTTGTAACCTTTAAGAGAAACGTAGAAAGAAAAAATAATATTATATGTATATTCTATATGTAATTGAATCTTGAAAATATATAGAACTGCTTTGTGTGAAATAATAAGAGATTTATATTTCATAACCGTATATTCTACTGTGCTTACTAACATTACCTGTATTTTAATCAAGTAGAAATGTATATTATATTCAGTATACTTTAAGAAATATTGAAATTTTATATAAGTAAAATGTTTCAGTTTTTTTTTATGATAGTTAATTCAAAATTCCTTCAAATGTACCTTTTCTAATGATATATAAATCTCATAAGTGTGGCCTGAAAGGTGTTTTCGTTTTTTTATTTTTTAGTTTGATGTATTTCTGTCTTATTTTAGTTGTATTTAAAACGCGCTTTCGAAGTTTGTTAAAGTTTTCCGCCAGTTCCAATATTTCTTGTTAATTGTAATACCTTACCTGACCATGGTTTATGAACCCATGTCTGTGAGCCAGTTCATCTGCACGGCCATCGGGCACGAGCAGCGCGAACTGGTCGTGGTACAGCGGCACACACAAGTCCAACACTGTCAATACCACAACAAGGTGAATAGGTGGCATAACGCACGTCGCTCATTGCATTATATATTATCACACATTACGTAATTTTTTAGTTACCACTCGCGTTTATTCCTGATCAGTTGGTAATGTCCGTTCAGGATGGAGTATACGAGTTGACTGAGCCCGCGTGACTCCGTCATTCCCATATACATTTGGCGCATGCGTCAAACTTGGCGCCCTTTTCTTCAGCCCACTTTTGAGTACATCAATTGACTCTACACTTAATTGGGTGAAGTCTACCTGTCATTTCTCGGAAATTTAACTCTTAACAATCTTTAAAAGTTTTTAACTGTAACAAGATTATGTTTTTCTATTACTTAAAACTGTTTAACAGCGTTTTATAAAGCCAAATTTTATATATATAACTCATATTTTTATTGACGATTTTTTTCAATTATTTTTAATATTAAATTCAAATAACCGGTAAAATATTCCCTGTGGTTTCATTTTATCAAGAGTGTGATAATAATAAAGTGAATTGCCTGATTATATGAACGCATTAATTTATTGAATGAATTTCATGATTTTACCAACATATTTTAATTGTCTCCTAAAATACAAGTATAATATACGTGTTATAAACTGAGGATTTATAAATTATATTATTATCAGTAATGGGAATTTTATAATTCAAAATGTATATTTTATTTGAATAACCGAGAAAAATAGTGTTATTCAATAAGAAATAAAAAGTTAACTTATTAGTTTTTTTTTTTCTTTTTAAAAATGAGGATAAAATAATAATAAGATTAACAAAGGATAATCAACGTGAAACTAATAAATGCTTTAACAGATATATTAATTAAGTTTAAAAATAATTGTTGAAGGAATATATACATATATCTGTATTAGAGATAGAAAGAAAAGTATATCTGTATTAGAGATAGAAAGAAAAAATAGATTTATAACTAAAATCAGGCGATTATGAATCCGATTGGACAAAAAAGATGCACAAAATGAAATTTCTGAAATTTTCCAAGCAAATCATAATACATTTTAATAGCAAAAGTATTTGTTTGTTACTAAATGGACCCCGTGAAAAATTTATGTTTAGATTGCTATAAAACATAAATAATACAAATTATTTCATTAAATGGGATGCCAAAATATTAAAACTCCAAAAACGAGATAAGAAGATTCATACATTAAATAAATTAACAAAAATACTAGCTGCGGGCTTAAAATTATGGAAATACGTAAACAAATGGATTACTGAAAAGAATAAATAGAACTATTTTTAACAAAGAGAAACTCACAACTGAAAGCAACAGATTTTGAACGCTCAGTAAAAGTAAGCTGTAGAATCAGAAACAATATCTATGAAGTTTACAAACCGATCATAGCAAAAGGTGAGGCGAAAAGTGTATAAGAATCAAAATCGCATCTCATACAGTCGTTACCACACCTTGAAGTTGAAAATCTCCAGAGCAAATAAGACACTCCAGTGTCCCGGGTATAAAGTTTGCATTAAAATGACGGTTCCCTGCCACGTTAAATGCAACTCAGATATACATTTAAAGTGGTTAATTCAAAATTATCATCACAATCTTTTGAAAGCGGAATTTTGAAACTAATTTAATATTAAAAGTTCGTGAACTTGTTAAGTATGAACGAAATTATGGCATAATGTAATTTGATGCCAGAAAACATTTTAATAAATCTTTCCACTTTAGGCTATTTAAACAATTTTCTTAATATTATAATATCCAATAAAACGATGTTATTATAACAGAGCAGTGTCTTAACGGGAAGAAGTTATTAACAACTTTTATTACTTTCACACTAATGTTACACCAATTAATTATTAACCAAAATACTTAACATTTTAAATTTAAAAGTCATACCAATTTTTACTCTACTATACAACAATCTGGTTACATTCATTCTCAAGGACTACATTTTTAAAATATATGTACATACGTGACATGCTTAAAGTTTTAATTTATGAATATTATACGACATAAAACAACTAATTTCTATGAAAAAGTACATACCCTACGTAATCAAAATTCTCTATGGTGACTTACTTCATAAATGATAGAAATGCGTCCTCTTAACACTACTCCATAAATGCCATATCAAAATTATTATTATTATAAACAAGAAGATTTATTAACATTGTCTTCATACAAAAAATATTATAACTTCTGTGTTTATAACGGCTACACCTTGATGGATGAAATCACTATTAATTTTAATATCCTTTGATCGGAATAAAATAAACAAGCTTAGATACACAAATCTATTTCTTTGAAAAGATAAAAATTCTGCCTTGATCTTCGTTCATAATATCCTAAATATAGCTAATACGGAATGGTATCCTTTCATTTCATAAAAGGGTACGAAATAATGTTATTCCTTTTATACGGCTGCCACGAAGTAGGAAAAAATATATATTCAACGATGTTCAAAAATTTCACCAGAAACGGCTATTTAAAAGACTATTTTTGAAAGGCAATTTTTGAGTATTAGGACAGAAATGGAATAGAAGGCCTTCCTGTTTGAACGAGTAACAATTTCCCTTGGACGACTGTAAAATAGTTACAGATGCGTTACCTCTCTTGAAAAGGAATTCAAACAGACAATGAAAAGAGGAAAGGATTTTAGAAAATGGTGAATTCTGGCTTCCGACTTTCTAACCATTGAACGAAACTGTAACTCAATTGTAATATCTGTTTCAAATATCTATTGTATTTTTTAATCAATCAACATTTTTCTATCACGTTATTAAACGACATTTACTAATTTTAATATTATTACTTACATTTGTACATAACAACAAAATTGTGTTATATAAAAAGCGATGCGAAAACTTATTCAATTTACTGTAACATATTGTATTGAATATTGAAAATAAGCTACTTGTTTACACTACACATATGATTTATTAGGCTAAGCCAAAAAAGTTACAGACTTATATAGTGCCAAGTTTGAATAACATGTGCCATTGTTGGAAGACAATCTGTTTATATTTATTACTAATACTTCTAATAACATCAAAGAAAATGCAATTAATATATTACATGTGATCTCAAAACGTAATTTAACCTTATATTCAGACTTGATGTATACTAGATGTTATAAATTTTATTCTTGATTATAAAGATTGAAACTCCTAGCGCCATCTAGTTTTGACAAGCGTAAATGTTATAATACTCAAGTCACGTTCATGTTTTCAGATTTTCTTATGTTTTACAGTTATGAATATTAGTTGTTGACACAAGGGATACAAATATTGACGCCTAAAATAACTTATAATTACTTTTCTATTCTATATTTCCAAATATTTTTTTTTACATTCATACTTCTTTGAGGGATAAAATTATATATGTATAAATGCTTATAAATTTCACTTTTACGATGATATTTAAAATAAAAAATTATGATCTAACATTAAATAATGGTATTGTTTTTTGAGAAATTAAAAGCCTATTTTAACAGTATTTTTACACGATACTATTATTATGAAAAAGTTTTTTTTACAACGTAAAGTAAATCCAATTTTATCATTTTTTTCTATTCAAAAACCGCTACCTTTTATTACCATATTATATGAGTTTTGGTGTTTCGAAACGAGTGTACGATCGTTACATACTTCAGTTCAGTTTTTCCTGTTTTCGTAAACAAATTTAACTTTAGGCATTTTATTAGTCAATTAAAGGAAAAAAGAACAAAAAAAAACACTCATTAATGAACAATTACATCTTCATTAAACATGTTCAAAATTAATTACTTTTATATTTTATACTACCAAATTTGATTGTCTGTATTTATCGTTCATGTTCTTTTACATATGACTCTCCTTAATTTAGTAGGGCTAAGCGTATAACTTCGTGACATTTTCAATTATTCGACAACCATAATAAGCATTTTAATCTTGTTATAATCTTTATATATAAATTCTTAAAAAATAAGGCAATTTTAATGATTTCTTTTAATAATATCTTTTTATTCTAATCTTATGCTAGGCAAGTTATAAATAATAGTCGGTTGTTTGATAATATTCTGTGAATTATTCGACAAAATAGTATATTATTTGACATTGCGTTTTCAACATTTGATGCTGCTCCCAGTAAAAAGGGTGAAGTGAGGAAAGTGCAGGGCCGAGTAAGAGCATTATAAATCGGTTCAAAACTAGAAAAGAAAGTGGCATTTAAAAATTTTACATCACACCTACACTATCCGTGTGCACTCACACAAATACAAAGCTCAGCTTAAATCAAACGCACCATACCCAATATCGTTTACGTAGATCGCATAATTTTATGGTATAGTTATATTTTGTTAACGTTAAATAATTATTAATATAAAAGAACTTTATAAAAGAAATCTATGATTAGCACAAAGAACCAATTTTAACCACTTCCAGCTCCCTAGTCGGAATGATATCTTGAAGTTAACAGAACAACGACTGTTTTAATGCTAGTAATTTATATATGCAAAACTTTGAACTTGTAAGTTTGCTTTTCATAGTTTAAAGTTAAATTTGAAATATATGAATAATATATGCCTGTTAAGGATTGAAATAGGCTTAAACTGGTAATTATTATTATTAAATCTAAAACACTTGTTTTGCATTCAAAATAGATACATAATCTAACAACCAACGTGACTAGTGTGAAATTTTAAGTTATGATTTTTGCGAACACTCTCAAAAACGAATACATATTATATACATATCCGTTTAAAAACCTTTTATTTTTTTACCTCAATTATTTTTTAGGATCAATTTAGAACCTTACACTAATGTATGGGTTTTCGTATATAAAATAAAGCGATTAAAATAATTTTATATTCAATACATTAAGTCACTTTGTTCTAAGATATTAATTTTAAGCGGTAGGAGTGTCAATCTTATTTAAATGAGAATAAAGATCGATTCACAATAGAACTGGTTCCCGGCATAATGAATTGCAATAGCCTTTATCATTTTATTCCCAGATCTTGGATAAAGCACCTTCTTGAATAGACGGCTTCGAAAAGTGTATTGTTACTCTGAA